AATCTTCATACCTGACCTGAATTTTTTTCAAAAATCTCATACCTGACCTGAATTTCAGGTCAGGTCAGGTCAGGTTACCTGAATTTGGCTGACCTGTTCGGAGCTCTAAAAATGCCAAAACCGACATTATTTCATTAAATGAATAAAAAAAACATTTTTTTAATGAAAAAACACTGAACCTGACGTTATTTCATTAAATGAATAAAAAAAACGTTTTTTAATGAAAAAACGCCAAACCTGACGTTATTTCATTAAATGAATAAAAAAAACGTTTTTTAATGAAAAAATGCCGAACCTGACGTTATTTCATTAAATAAATCAAAAAAACATTTTTTTAATGAAAAATGCCGAATCCGACGTTATTTCATGAATAAAAAAAACGTTTTTAATGAAAAAATGCCGAACCTGACGTTATTTCATTAAATGAATGAAAAAAAAACGTTTTTTAATGAAAAAATGCCGAACCCGATGTTATTTCATTAAATAAATCAAAAAAAATGTTTTTTTAATGAAAAACGCCGAATCTGATGTTATTTCATTAAATGAATTAAAAAAAACGTTTTTTTAATGAAAAAACGCTGAACCTGACGTCATTTCATTAAATGAATGAAAAAAAAAACATTTTTTTAATGAAAAAACGTATAACCCGACATTATTTCATTAAATAAATCAAAAAAAAGACGTTTTTTTAATGAAAAAAAGCTGACCCGATATTTTTCATTAAATGAATTAAAAAAATTTTTTTTTTTAAACATCAACGGGTCGGGTCAGGTACCCTACCTGACCCGATATAAAAAATGTTTTGGCGTAATTTAATATGTAAAAAAATGCTGAAACGTTCTTTTCCACAAAATAATTGTAAAAAAAAAAACGTTTAGAGTTTTTTCTTATAATTTGATATATAAAAAGCGCCAAAACGTTTTTTTTAATCCAAAATATCAGATCAATGGGTCAGGTCAGGTACCCGAACTGACTTGTGATATTCAGATCAGGTCATCAAATTCGTGACTCCCCCTCGGGTCAGGTTAAGTCAATTACCCGACCCTACCTGACCCGTTCGGAGCTCTAGACAGGACATTTCCAATCCTTATATATATCAAAATTAATCAATTTTCTCTGTTCTACAGTCAGAATTTCTTCAATACATTAATGTTAATGTTAATGTTAATGTTACAAAAATTAGATTTCAAACAGTTTTCTTTTCAGGATTCCCACTACCCATTTTGGCATCAATTCACCTAATCTAAGTATCGACCTTTCCTTTTATATTTTTAACCTTTCCATTTTTTTAATATAAATAAACAATTAGGTAATCTTTTAATGGTTTAAACTTAGAAGATTGTGGGTGAACTTAACTTAGATAATAGGCATATTTAAAAATCAATTTAAATGGTTGACGACAATTAGGAATGGGAGATGAAGATGCAGGTAGAGCACATGATAGCAAGATTTTGATTTTTTATTTAATCATAACTTCTCAACACTTTTTTATGGTGATATCATACTAATACTGACATATATATGTCACCATAATATAATTGGTTAACCAGCTGTTTATCAGGAAAGTTTTTCTGATCTTTTTTTTTTAAATACTCAAGCGAATTTCTTTCCTCTACTGTACAATATCATAGTTTGAAGATGGAGGACAACTTTGACGAAGTTTTAACCACTTTTTCGCAAGTAAGTCATGTTATGTTATATGGTAAAAGGTCTCTATTCTTATGAAAAACATTTAACTAATACATTTTTTACTATTTATCCAGTAAAAATATTGAATGGATGTTATGTTCGTTTAACCTTAAACCACTGGAATTTTATCAACATCTGAATCGTAAAACAAAAAGTGTCACCACAAGCACATATTCTAGTACTCATAAAATGTTAATGTTTTAGAAAATTCAGGAAAAATGGAAGGTGAGAATGTGGATATACATAAATTACCTCTTATAATATGAATTTTAATACATTTATTTTATGCAGAATGGGGTTTTTAATAAAGATTGGAATATGTGTTGCAGAAAAATCAGCTTCAATATCCGTAATAGCATGTTTTAATGTCCAAAGAAGTTATAATTATGAGATTTCTTCTCACCTCTTAGTAAGTATGTTCCTAAATATCTGTATTATTGTTAAATTCTATTATTAATAATTTGCCATCATTATAATCAGAAACATAAGTGTAATTACCCAACAACACCAAACAAACCGATTATCCTATCAGACATGAAAAAAAGATATCCGCAAGTGCTTTTTACGAAGAAAGCAAGATTGTTACTTTTGAAGATAAGTCAAAAGAATCAGATTTAGGTCAAAAATCTGAGATTACTTCTATAAATAAGTTCAAAGATTCAGAAAAAGATGGTCAAAAAGTTGAGGTTACCTTTAAAGATGAGTTCAAAGGTTCAAAGAAAGATGATCAGGCTACTTTTGAGGATGGGTCAGAAGGTTTAGAGAAAAATGATCATAATAATCAAAGTCCATTTATATCTATAGATTGGCATGAGTGGTTAATAGAAAGAATTCTAGAAGTCAGTAAAGAGCTATCTATTTATAAGAAATAACTGTTGAATTATCGTTTATAAGCTGAGCTTTGTTATTATTTTTTTCTATTGTTTTTTTGTAGTTTCTGATTGAGATTCGAAGAAATTAAGAAATTATGATAAAGTATATCAGAAAAGTACTTATGGACTTGAAGTCATTTTTGTTTTTTAAACATGTAGTATGTACTTTAATCCATAAAATGTTGGTTTAAACAAAATAATTGATATTTCCAGTCATGTAATGACCATTGACGAAGCTGAAAGAAATTGGATTGTCATGTAAGCGATATTTGTAAATAAAGTTAAATTCCACTGATGAGTACTGTTCTTTTTTGAACTCATAAACTTATTTGTTAACTACTTACAAATTAATTTTATATTACCATAGGGTTGAATATGATATTGAACCATCATATAAATGACTTATAGCTAAAGGTAATACTACAAATAAAGACTGAATGAAAGCAGATATAATTGGAATACAGTTTCCAGCAGACAGGTTGTCTTTTTGGTGAGTAGTGTATCAACTGATTTTTTAAAGGTGATCCCAATTGGAAATACATATAATATGTGGAATTCTATACATTCCCATATATCCTACATGGATTTACATAGAATATTTGGAAAATATTGAAACTATTCAGATTTCTACATAATTCCACAATATTTGATGTGAATTTTCATATAGATTTTACATAAAAAAAATTTCTTGATAATGCTATAAAAGTGAATTAAATCTCTAAATTCAATGCTTTTAAATTATTTGAATTATGATGTAAGATTCATGGGAAGAATTTGTTCATTAACTATTCAAGGAATAAGTGAGTACTTTTTCTGCAAACTGCTATTTAGATCAAAAGACAAACTTTCATTTATTTGTTTTTAACTATTGTATCATAGCCTCATAGAAGATTAATTAATTCTTAGAACAATATTTTTAAGAGGAAAAGATGACTATAAGGTGTTCTGGTGCTATACTTCAAGAACTTTACCTGGATAATTATATCTTTAATATGGTATATACTGAATATTTAAGTTACTATAATATCAACATTTGAAATGATTAGTGTTAGTTAGGGTTAAGGTTAGAGTTAGGGTTAGGGTTAGCACTTTGTTATTGCACTTATAATGCTTGATAAGAAAAAATTTTCTGCAACTTTTCCACTTAGTTAGCTAGGATTTTTGGTTCTAATTCATTGAAATATTTGAATTGATAGAGTTTATAATCATAGAATATCCAGATGTCATAAGAGAACTAATTAAGCATTCAGCAACTTTCAATCCAAAACTATATTTCATAAATATAATAATTTTTGCAATCTTGAAATCTAAAATTCCTTCTAATTAAAGTATTTTATAATATTATAATATTAATTATTAATTTTAATTTGTAAATATAGTTTTTTGAATATATTTAATATAATTTTTTTTAAATTTATAATAATTTATTAGAAAACAAAAGTTTTACAATATATGATAATATTTTGATATAAAATAAAAAATAAATTTTTTAAAAGATAAATACCATCATTAAATATTATCTGTTATGAATCTATTTATTAATATTAATATTTTGCAAAAATTCTTTTTGTGTCTACACTCTTATAAAAATAATGTTAATGTTTTTAATTTTCAGATCAAGAAAAGAATATTTGCAATACATAATCATATATATTTTAACTGAATCAAGAAAGTAATATGAGAAGGTGATTTTGAAGTGAAGAAGGTAAAAAGAGCAGACAATTATTACATAACATTTCTTTTATTGTAGGAATAATAGATTTTTATAAAATCATTATTATGTCTTTCATGTTTTTTACCATTTTGTAATAATTTTTTTGATGGATCATAAGATCTTATAAAATCAGACTTTCTATAATATTTCTGATTATTCATATTTGATATTTGATAAAAGTTCAAAATACAATAAAATTTACCCTAATAATAAATATATCAAGTAAAAAATATTTATAAAATGAGTTAATGAAAAAGAAATTATATGTTAATAAATATTTTATAAAAAAATAACACCTAAGAAATCCATTTAGATTGAGATTTTAGAGACAAAAATCTCACAACACATGGTGAATTAAGTAATTGTAAATATAGTGAAAGACAACAAAGTATTAAAGTTTTTTTTAAACCTAAAAAAAAATAGAAGTGAAGAAGAAAAACTGCCAAAAAAATCACATGTAAAAAAGAAAAGTATCAAAAATATGTGATATGAGCATTCATTCGTAAAATTGTAAAGAGCATCCTCCACAACCTTTTCCATAGAAAAAACCCATTTTTAACTATTCTGAAACTTTAATAAGTATTGTTGCCACTTTTATTTTTATTTCTTCTCGATGTTTAATGACTATTACTGAGAGAGACTTTTCAAGTTCATCATCAGTCTGGCCTAAATCTTGATGGTCATAGTTTTCAGCATGAAAATTATTATTTCCTTCAGAGTCTGAATTATCAACCTCGCTCTGATTGTATTGCAAATAGTGATTAATTAGTTTTGATTTGTTAGTGTTTAAGTTGAAATCATATCCCAGCAATAATAAAACCAAATACCTTATTAGTTCTGGTACGTTTTGCCGTTTTTTCGTTGTCATCATCATAGAATCTTTTCGTGATGCCGGTGTTTGTTGATCTGGCATATTGTTGAATTTGTTCTATCGCCACTGTGGTAATGGTTACATGCTGATTCGCCTATGTATATAGAAGTAGGTCAAATGTAAATATCCCGGTCTAGCACGTTAGATGGTGGGAAAATTAATGATATACCTGCAATTTTAGAACTTTCGCCTTTGCCTTTTTCTCTTTTAACTTACTCCTCACCACAATACTTTGACTCTCAACTTGAAGTTTCCAAAAAACATTTACTACTGTCGACTGTTTACTTAACTACCAATGATAATATGTAAGTACACGTTCTAGATTTTGTTTGATAGTCATCTCACCCTATACAAGTAAGAATAGAAGACATCCCGAACAAGCAAGCACCCAGATTGTACATTATCTTTCGCGAGCATCATCGGTCTCAAAGTCCATGGAATATAGCTCACCAACAGACAAGCAGTCGTTCCCACTACAAGCGCGCGGGGTAGTTGGTGTACTCGTCTCCTGAACATTAGTATTTCCTGTCCAGGTTCGGACACTTCAGCATAGAATTTGCTGGTCTCATCAAGTTCTTTCTTGTAACGATTGTATTCAGTTTCTCTTATCCGTTAAATCGCCAGCCAAAAGTCGAAAATCTAAGAAATTCTTGAGCGAAGGCTCGTCCGTGCTTTCCCAAAAGACTACATAATCACAAGTATAAGTTATGAAATAAATATCACAAAAAAACATCGGCACAGTCTATCTTATCGCGGTACTTTACAGCGTTAAGACATTCAGGGAGAAGTTGCATTTTTTGTCTGTGTCTGACATTCAGGGAGAAAGTTTTTTTTGTCTGTCTTTTCAGCGCGACAAGATTTAAAATGATAATCAGCTGGTTAACCTGATTAACCAATCATATTATGGTGACGTATATATATCACTATTTTATTAGACATAGACTGGGCTGTAAGTTATTACCGTATGCAAACAGTGTGTGAATGATGAGGTGTTCTTCTAAAATAAACGTCCGGGTCGTTTATGATAGCTTGATCTTTCGAGGAAATAACATATCGCGCATTCGCGTTAGCTTTAAGGGTAACGTCTTCCATGATGCGGATTTCTTGTCGTTGTAAATAAAAGTTTCTGAGTCTGACAGCTTGTGCGTAACCGTAATTGTATTTGGGAATAGAGTTGACGTCGAAACGACGTCGAATTTTATAATCGAGCAGATTGATGTTGTAGGTAATTTTGTAGTAGATACGTGGATCACCCGGTGTACCAGGCGGTCGGTAAAGGAGGTAGTTTTCTTTTTCTTGTTGATTCTGATTCCAAGTATAATATCACTGATGAAAAGTTACAATCACGTGACTTTTATCCTACCAACTTACAATTTATTACAGATTTTAAATACATAACGTAACTAATAAAATTATTAAAATTATAAGGAATTAGCCTATTATACTGGATACTTTCTTAATTAATGGAATTAATTGAAATTAATTGAATAAACAAGCAATTAATTTTTAAAAAATTGAAATTCTCAAATTAGAATAGAATAAAGGAATATTTACATAACAGATGTCTAAATCAAAAAATAAAATATATTAAAAAATTTTTATAAAAAAAATTTTTATAGTGCCACTATTTAAATTTTTAACCAAGTTCATTAAGAACCAATCATTTATAAGAAACCGGATTCTTGTAATAAACGAGCTATCTTTTCATCTTCACGTTCCCTATTTATTTAAAATAAAAAAATTGATCAATTGATTTTTCTTTTGCAATCAAAAAATATAAAAAATAAGCAATTTACCTTGGCTCTAAAGCAAGACTCTGCTCATATAAATCCTTAACATCTTTACTTTCTTTTAAATGAAAATCTATAAACATTTGAATTTCTTGAACAGAACTAAGATTATAAGGTACATTTTGATATTGTTTTATTTCACGTATAACATCAGCCGTTTTCATACGTTTTGAAAAGTTTATTAATTTATTGGAACTTTTAAGAAAATCAGGATTACCATCTTCAATAAATGTAAGATCAGTCAAATATAAACCTAAATAAACAAATTAATATTATTATTATATTAAAGTAAATAAAATAAGATTTCTTTTTATTTCTTACCAAAGAATGGTACACATGGAGGATTTATACTATGTAACATCTCTCTATATTCAGCAAAATTCTTTGTTGAATTCATAATTTTACTGAGAGTCTCAAGTGTTTGTACGGTTTTTGAATTAACCATTTCCCAAGTGCGCTTCAGACGATGAATTGGTGCAGAATACAATCCAGAAATAATGGCCGTAAGCGAATTGAAGTTATTTAAACATCTACACTTATCGGCTATTCCAACAAAATGTTTAATATACATACATCTCTTTCTAATTTCTTTCTGATTTAACACTGATTCGGCAACCCATCCCGTTATCTAATAAATTATTTTAGTTAGTTGAAAGGAAATATACATATTTCCATGAAATTTTATTTTACTTGCCTTATTACTGTTGAAAATCATGGCCTTAACATTTACTGCAATATTATCACCCTCACTTTGACTCCAAGCTTTACCTAGGCATTCAACAGCCTTAATATTATTATATAGTTTACTTTCCATTAAAGTCAATTGTCTAGCAATTTCCAAGGGATCTATGTCTAAAAATTTGAGTTTCTTCATGTTCTTTGGTAAGATTGATGCCGGAGGTGCTGAAGCATTTGTTGCAATCAACTCTCTAAATTTAGCATCTTTTCGTTGATGTTGCTGCAATTAGAAAATAATTAGATTACTATTTTGGAAAAATTATGCAATTTACGTATAAGAAATACATACTCTTTTCTCAATCACTTTTGTTAAACTCACAGAAGCAAAGGCCATATGTTCATACATGGTTGTTCTTGCAAACTCTCTCATTTTTTCTAAACAAAGTAAATCTTCTTTATCATCTATATAATAAGTTTCTAACCAAGATTTCATGATATTAAAAACTCTCAGCCTAACAGGTGTCTGTTTCTTTTCTTGCCAAACCTCTAATTCTTCGTTAGTTAAACCTTCAGGAGGTTGAATCATAAATCTTTTAACTAACATATCAAAGAAATCATCCGTTGTACAGAAAGATCTATATGTCAACAAGAATGTTGCAATAAAATTATAATCCAATATATCATGCATAGTTAATCTTTCAACCAAAGCGGTAAGGGTTCCTCCCTTTACAGTAATTTCCTTATTAAATACTATCTCTGAAGTATCATAATCATAATTAAGGAACCAGGGTTTATCCTCTTTCAGTTTTTGCGATTGAGTGATATTAGGTGAACCATCTTCTTTCGTAACCTTAGATCGTACATTTGTTCCTACTGTATTACTTCCACTTATAACTTGAGAAGTTAAAGGATTTTCAGCTGAAGGGTGAGTATATGATCGTTGTAATTTGCCAGTAATTCTACTAGTTGAATTAGGTGGATCATCATCATTATTAAAATTACGATTATTACTACTAATCGTATCATCATTTGTCACGACACAATTCTCAGGTACAGTTTGTAATGATTTGGAACTTGTAGTATCTAATGAAGAAATTGTGGATTGATTTTCTGCAGAGTGTTCTGTATTATTCCCATTAATTTGATCCAGAGAATTAGAATCATTTGAGATAAATTGCGAAACTTCAAAATTTTCAACAACACTAGAACGCATTTCTTGAATTTTCAAAACTAGAGATTTTGTTATAATAATAATGTCTTTAACAGACTTATCAACCACATTTGCGCAACCTATAATTTGATCCATAGCATTTAAAGGAAATAAGGGATCAGAAGCCATTTGAATACACATAACTAATCCTGCTATATTATTATACAATGATTGTTTAGAAACATTGAATTCATTTATATTAACAAAACTAGATTCATCCAAGTCTTTCAGATTAATATTTTCAGTAATAAATAAAAATTGTCCAACTTGAGTAAGAATCTCCCTGGTTTGTGAAATAAGTTGAGGAGAAAAATAGCGTGGTGTAAAAGAATTAGGAGCATCAATTACTTTCCTAACATCATTAAGGAGCAATGTAATGGACTGAGTTACAATGCAAGAAATTTTATCCAACGAGCTAATGAGATCAGACGTTAAATGATATAATGGATTATTTGTAGAAGAAGTTGAAACACTAGTATCCTCTAGATTTATACTGGGTAATGTTGATTTATTTCCATTTGTTTGTGTTTGTATTAAATTGTTTCCATGCCATGAACCACCGGTAGCACTTTCGATAATTTTTGGGTCAACTCTTCTAATATCAACAGTTTTTTGAGCAATTAGAATAAATCCACGAACTGCGTCTAAAACTTCATTGACATCACTTTTCATTTTTAGAGTAGCATCTGGTGGAGACCATGTACTTGCAGCTACTTTTGTAGAAAGAGTTAGCTTTGAGAGCGAAGTCATAATATTTCTATGATGATTTTTAAGATTCCTATTTTTCTTAATTGCAACTGAGTCTTTTTCAACAGTACCAGTAGCGTAAAGCATAATCCTAACATTCCCAACAATTGTACTAGTACATTCTGGATAATCCTGCCTCATGTTTTCTTGAATTGCTACATTAAGGTTATGGATAGACAGATCAATACTCTGTGATAAAGTGTCCCAAGTAAGGTATTCATGTGCATTTTGTAACATAAGTATCGAGGACCCCGAGAATCTGATCGATTTGTTTGGTGTTATAACTGTAGGAGTTTGAGGTAATAGTTCGTTTGGTATTTCATCATCTGATCTGCTCTTTTCGTTATTTTCAGTTTTTATCTAAAATTGTATGATTTTAATTAGAAATCTTTAATTGATTCCTTTTTATATGAAATATGAAATAACTTACTAATTGACCATTAGCATTAATATTATCAAGACTCCAAGTTGTCTCATTTGTTAATTTATTGCAATAATATACTCTCCCCTGAGCTGTAGTTTTCACATTCCAATTTGGTGGAAGCTAAGTGTGAAAAACGGTTAATAAATAATTATGATTAAAAATAAGTCATAATGAAAATTTAATAGTTACGTTGTCAATAGATTGACTTTGTTGTAGATTTTTTTGTTGAATAACGTCAATTGAAGCTGTGTTTAATTGATTATCTATTGAACTTGTAATATTTGCTTTGTTGGCAGGATCAAATTTCTCTAAATCGTCTTCTACAAGAGCAGTAACATGTGAATCAAGTTCTTCGTCATCAATATAACTTGAGACAGGACCTTCAGAAAAAGTCCAATTAATTTTCTTAGTTTTTTTAGCATTAAAATAAAAATAAGTATTACCATTTTTAGTTGGTTCTTGATTTTTTGGAAACTGTTTTGACAGTTTTGACAACGAACTAGTGCAACTTGTCGTATCTCTTGCTGCAGGAGATTCATAATTAACAGGTACTTTCCAAGATGATTCACCTGTCTTTATGTTATAATAAAATATCTCTCCATCTAGTGTCTGCTGAAGAATCCAGTCATATAACTATAAATAGATAAACTATGTATTTAGCACATATACCAACAATTATTTTAAAATTATTTAATACTTACTTTTTCATCTTCATTTATCAATTTACCCTCTTTGTCAAATACGGTAACATAATTACTAGGAAACCAGCCGCGTTCACCATTACATAGTCCATCCCACCAGCCAGACTCTAATTGCATAAGCACTTGTATGATATCATTCGTTTTGAAGGACAAACTCGAAGCATCATTTGATTCAAAATCATACAATGCTCTTACAAATAAGACTGGTGACATCTCATTTTTTTCTTTTTCTAAATTCATGAAGAATTAATAAACTGGATAATAAATAAGAAAGGGGGGTAGCATGCTATTAAATTGTTAGGTTTCTAGACCTTTATTAAATACTGTATAAAGTTAAATATTTGGGGTTTCATAGGTTTCATAGGAGTTGTAAAGAAATATGTGATATTTTTTTTAAGGAGGAAAAAGAATTTTTTTTGGGTATAACTATTATTAAGCTCAGTTGCACAATCACACATACTCCTTAATTATTGTTAATTATGTAAACCATAAAAGACAATTTTTAAAAATTTTCAATCGATCATTGGTATTTTGTGTATTGAAAAATTTCCGAATTTGTGCTTAGAATGAGTTTAGAATGCAAATTTTGTGTTACTTTTCGATCCAATCAATACAATAAAATATCAATGTCACGTTTGTTGAATTTCGTTACGGACTGTACTGCCGGTAATAAAATTTTTCCCAATGTTTCCAGTTTGATGTTAATCGGTTCACGTTTTCACATGTCCACTTATATGGTTTTCCTAGACCCCTTGGGGCATGGGCCAGTTACGTATTTACGTTTTAGCTTCTTTAGCTTCTTTCTCATGTGTCAGAGTTATGTAGAGGTATTTCTTCGAATGATCTAAGCACTTGAACATGAATTTTAGATACACGTTAAAAATCCGGGTATAGCGAATCTATATTGCAAGATCAAAAGCAAATCAAAGCAAAAAAACACCCGATTTTTTTAATATTATTCAATATTAATGATTATTCAGCTATATCAATTTCCCATTAGATGAATGCCTTATATTTTATCAATGGATGGAATTTTTTTTGGATATAGCATTTTAGGTTTCCGAGAAATTTATAAATACCGGCAAAATTCATTAGTTCTAGTTTATATATTCTTCCAGAACCAAATTTTTTCCGAGATTTTTTAAGTGCTGATTATAAAAGGTAAATGATTTTTTATCTTCATTGTTCGAGTTATATTAGTTATATTTTAATATTAATTTAAAAAACAATTACAAATTGAAATTGTACATTTATTTATTTCCAAAAAAGTGAAATAATGTATTTTTTTTGATTCTAAAATTATATTTCTATAAAAGGAAAATAATTATAACTAAATTATTCTACTATGAAAAAGAATATTTGATAACATATCTCCCGCGGTGACCAATAGGAATTAATGCTACTAATAATTGGCCGATGTCTCAAAAATATCGGTCATTAAAATCCCAATCGACTGAACAATATTTTTTATAATATAAACATTTTAATATAGCCTATTGTAAATAAAGAAATAAAAATGATAGATATATAATTTTATTTAATAATATTAAATAAAGATGATAGAAATGTAATTTTATTTAATAATGTGAAAGATATATAACTAATTTCTCTTTTTTCAAAATTAGTAACTGATAAGTGTGAAGAGTAGGGAGGCGCAGTGATTAGGCGATGATTTCCCCTGCGTACCCTTCAAAAAATGTCACGAAAATTCACGTGACGTTTTTTTGTCACATCCGTCACACCCTTCCTTGTTTCCATTTTTCATAAGTATCTGAGGGACTTAGTTTTTTTCGAGTAAGTAAAACCCTATTCGTCACACCCTTATTCGTCACTGTTTATTTTCACGTGTTAGTGCATAACGCCGTAATGCCGGCCGTTTCGTGACATTTTTGAAGGGTACGCAGGGGTAGTCTTAGGTGATTGTGCAATTGCTGATGACAGGCCTGTGAAACAGAATAATTTCTCACTATTCTTTTTTACTCTTGTCATCAATATCATCAGAAGCAAATTCACCCGTAAATCAAGTTTTCTCAGCTCATCGGATAGGCGTAATAAATTACAAAAGCAGATGTAATAATATTCATTAAATAAATACACTTATATTTTAAAGATCAAATCAAATGAATTCTTTATTATATTTTTTCATGAAGTAATACATGAGAAAGGGCCAGCCGGCTAAATAAAAAATGCGTATATATTGTGAAATTATAACCATACATATTTAGATTATATTACAAACATGGAAAAACTTCAGCAAGTATGAACAGGTGATCACAGTTGAGTAAAATTTGATATACTCCAAAATCGGGAAAAATTTCAGTAGCTGTTCATACGAGTAAAATTTGGCGCAGTAAATCCAGCCAGAAAAATCTTTAAAGAACTAAGTTTCATAAATCTTTTTGGGATATTCACCCTTTAATTTATAACTATGCTCTCAATAGATAAATATTGTATCTATGAAATTGTGATCGGTACCTAACGAGAGAGGGATTATCAGATAAGGGAGTACTGTTTTTTTCTCTAGGCGTCTTGAGCGGTTCTGAAATCAGCTCGTTATTTTGTTCAGAATCCATCATATTGCTCTCTGGGCAATAGGTTTCGAAAAAAGATACTGTCCTGTTTTTATATCACTTGTAAATTTCGCAGGAGAAAACATTCCCAGATTTTCACTGCAATTACGCACTGCATTTCGTCATTACGCTATCTCCCTGCAATAGGAATTGGAATCGATTCCCATTATTGGAATTGATTTTAAAATTGATTAATCATAATTAATCATTTCACAAATATTGATTTTAAGATTCGATTTTCAATTTTTGATAATCGAAACTAATCGAATTTATATTTTACAAAAAATACAAATTATGGTGCAAATTTATAATTATACTTAAAAGATTATTTATAATAATAGAATTTTTATATTTTAATGAATTTATTCAATTAAAAGTAATATAATTTGAGAATGTCAAATTCACTGATTACACCCACATTTTTGATTGGTTATGCGATTACGTTATCATCAATAAATGTTTATTTGTTTATTATTTCTAGTACTTTCCCAACTTTAAACCCTTCGCTCAGCTGGTATATTTTTCTTTTTTTTTCTTTTATTGTTTTTATATTTTATTTCTTGCTAACTTTATTTTATTCTCTTTAAGTTCTTACTCCTTTCAGTCTTTTGCTCTTTGCAATTAAGGTGTGTTTAGTATTACAGTCAACTCTCTTTATAGTCACACATTTGGGACAGTCCATATTTGGTGATTATAAAGAGATGTGACTATATAAAAAATTTCTTATATTAGTATATCATAATTCCGGCCAAAAATTAACATAATTTTGGCCAAAATTATACTTAAAACTTTATTGTATCGTAACTCCTCCAATATTAATCGTAGAGAGATGATCTTACCGCCATTCGATTCGTCTTGATGAGACGGTTCTAATGGTATAAAATACATCGAAATCCAATCACTAGATTAATTTCCGAAATTAAAAAAATATTAATGGTTTTTGTGTAATAACTCTGCCAATATTGATCCTAGAGAGACGATCTTACTACCATTCGATTCGTCTTGATGCGACGAATCTAATGGTATAAAATACATCGAAATCCAATCACTAGATCAATTTCCGAAATTAAAAAATATTAAATGGTTTTTAAGTAGTAACTCCGTCAATATTGATCACAGAGAGATGAGCTTACCACCATTCGATTCGTCTCGATGAGGCGATTCCAACGAGCTATAAATCGTCTTTTTACAATCACTAGGTACCGAGAAATCTAGCAAAATGTTAAATGGCGCAGTAAACGTAAATCAAGAAATATTATAATGCCGATGTTTAACATTTTGTTGAATAACTCGTCAGCCAGTGATCGGAAAAGGATAAAACTACCACCATTCGATTCGTCTCAGTGAGACGATTCTAACAAGCTATGATACATCTTTGTACGATTATTAGATGCCAAGTTATTTAATATATTCTTTATATAACTGTGATTATAAACGGTTCTTTTTAATATAAGATTTTTGATGATAGGTGTGATAGTGACTATAGATAGATTGTGACTATATAGGATAGATTTTAATAATAAAGTGTTTTGAACATTCAACTGGTGTGACTATATAGTAGAATGTGACTATAACGGGAGTGACTATAGAGGGAGTTGACTGTACATAGTCACAATTTTTTAAAGTTTTTATTTTTTTTTATTTTGGTTCTTACACTTCGTTTCTTATATTTTGTTCCTTACATTTCCTTTCTAACTTTATTTTGTTTTCTTTTAGGTTCTTAGTTCTTCTCGGTGTATTCTTTCTTTTATTTTTTTTTTTATTTTTTTTATTTTGTCTATCATATTTCGTTTATTTTATGGTTTTTATTTGGTCAGTTGGTTTCCTTCATTTTTTTATTCCCTACTATTTTTTTATCTTTTGTTTCCATTGTTACTTTTATTTCCTTAATTTTTCATTCCTTTTTCACTCCACTTCATTTTTTTTCATTCCTTTTCGCTCATCCCTCGTTTTTTTCACTCCTTTTCATTTCCCGTATTTTATATCGCATATGCAAATGATTAGAAATTGACAGAGAAGTTGGCAAATTTTTTTCTGTCTTTAAGTGGGCTGAAAATATGTTATAAAGGCCTTCATTTTCTTTTTTTTCTTTCGCTTTCCTTCGTTTTTTTCATTCCTTTTTACTCCTTTATTTTTTTCGTTCCTTTTTATCCCCTTCGTTTTTTTTATCACTTTTTCACCTCTCTTTTGCTTTTTTCATTTTTTTTACTCCACCTTTGTTTCTTTCATTACTTTTTATTCCTCTTCATTTATTTTGTTCTTCCCTTCACTTCTTTTATTGATCTTCATTTATTATTTTTTTCATTATATTTTGTTTCTTACTCTTCTTTTTGTTATTGCACATTCTCTTCATTATTTCTGTTATTTCCATAAATAAATAAATAAATAAAAATTGTTAATATTTATATTTTTAATCAATAAAACGTATCTTTAATTGGTTATGGGTCAAAAGACCGACAAACAAAAGACCGATACTACATAATCCCGATCTACAAAATCGCGAAACTACAAAATTTCAACTAGGATAAAATATCGACTAGTTCAAAATCCCGAAATACAAAATCGTCTAATACAATAAATATTTTATAGATTGTAATTAATAGAATTGTTACAATTGTACAAACATATATTTACTATTATAGTTAAAGAACAAATAAATCAATATAATTGCATAATTATTATTTATAGTATATCGTGTAAATCATTTAATGTACATACAAATTAGTTAATATTCCATGTTCTCATGTTCTAACTTGCTTAGTAAATATAGCATATTGAAAATTCATATGAAAATTTTTTTATGGTTATGTAATTATTCTGATTAACAAATTGCGCGTTGCATATTATTATTTGACAAATTTGATTTACGCGTAATTATAAATATTTACTTCATTTCAATAAAAGCTTAACTTTTTTTTCTAGCCAAGAAACCTATCTTAAAAATGGATGAAGTCTGTGAGATTATACAATCACAAAAAGGAAATAATAAAATAAATGTTCGTGGTTATTTAATGATAAAAGAACGAACAAAAGGAAATACGTATTATTGGTGCTGTGAAAAAAAAAGACTGGAGAAATATAAAGGTTGAGCAACAACAATATTTCTTGATGGTAAACATTATCTTAAAAACTTTGTTGGCTATCATCACTCACCTCAAGCTAGTAAAGTGAAAGTTGCAAAAACTGTTGCTCAAATCAAACAACAAGCACGTGAAACAAGAGACAAGCCAGTACAAATAATTCAAAATAATATCATTAATATGTCACAAGATGATCACCCTTACATGCCATCTAAAAATGCTCTTAGGACAACAATTAAACGTGTGAGAAAAGCAGAATTGCCTCCACAACCACAAAACATTGGAGAACTTAATGTTTCAAATCCACTTTGTTTAACATTGAATGGTGATCCCTTTCTAGTCAAAGACTTGATGGTTGGTACTGATCGAATTTTATTATTTACCACACAAATGAATATTCAACGCCTGTCTCAAGTTCAATTTTGGTTGATGGATGGTACTTTTCGAACAGTCCCAACAATATTTTGTCAACTATATACAATACACACACCTGTTGGTTCAACAAATTCAAGGATTCTTCCTCTCATATATGCACTAATAACAAGCAAGACAGAACAAATCTATAGATGTTTGTTTGAAGAGATAGTTGACTTTGCAGCAGAACATAATATAATCTTACAACCTTCAACCATTCTAACTGACTTTGAACAAGCATCAATTTATGCTTCTCGTTATGTATTTCCTAATGCCAGAAATAAGGGATGTTTTTTTCATTTGGGACAGTCTGGGTGGAAAAAAATTCAATCATGTGGACTTGCCATTAGATATGGCAATGATGAACAGTTTAGTTTGATGTTGAGACATTTGTTTGCCTTAGCATTTTTGCCATCACAGGAAATCCCTGATGCCTTTGATACACTAAAACTTGTAATGCCACAAGAAGCAAATGTAGTTACTCAGTGGTTTGAAAAAAACTATGTACGTGGAAAGATACGTCGGCATCTTCGAAATGGTAGCACTACTCGGTCAGCTCCTTTATTTCCACCAAGTTTATGATCAGTATATGATTCAATGGAAACAGGTGTACCACACATACAAAATGTTGCTGAAGCTTGACATCATCGGTGGAATACATTAGTTGGGCAAAGTCATGCTGGCATTTACACAATAATAAAAGAGCTGCAAAAGGAACAACAAAATGTTGATTTTCAAATTGAATGTATTGTACGTGGTGAACAGCAACCAAAAAAAAAGTCCTTAATTGACAGAGAAAAAAGAATCATGACGATCATCAGTGATAAAGAAAACCGTTCAGTGATGGAGTAACTTCGTGGCATTGCTCATAATCTTACATTATAAGTAAATTTACAAAAATCTAGTTCTTTTATCTAGTTCTTTTATAAATTATAAATAAAATAAATGATATACAATATTTTGCGCAATTTACTTTTTTAATGTCTAAAGAATAAAAGATTTCCAAATAATTTTTACTCAATAATATATAAATAATATAAATATTCTAAATATTCTATTAAATTATTTTGCAAAAGACAGATTGAAACAAATTATTAATAGTATCTAATCTGTTGAGATTTTGAATCGTCAAAATTTTATATTTCAGGATTTTGAACTAGTTGATATTTTGTTCTAGTCGGGATTTTGTAGTTTTGCGATTTTGTAGATTGGGATTATGTGGTGTCGGGATTCTGGATTTCGCGATTTTGGACGGATCCCCTTTAATTAATAAATTATTATTAATATCATTATAAACGTGTAAATATTTAGTTTGCAAATAAAAATTTCATTACATTTTAAAAGTTACTCTAAAAAAATTTTTTGATATTTTGATTACAAATGATGTAATACATATTATTCTAACAAAGAGTTCGTCTGCTTCATCGCATGTCTGAAATATGTGCCAGGTTAGCGGTGCAGCTGCAGCTCCACAGCCACAATCACGTGATACAGTCAACTCTCTTTATAGTCACACATTTGGGACAGTCCATATTTGGTGATTATAAGCAAAAAGTCTTATGACTTTATCTTTTATTTTAATTTTTAAACGAAAAGTACAATAATCAAATTGAACAATATTACAAATAACAAATATAGAAAATAAACATAAAAAATAAAAAGAACTAGCTTCACAAATCATACAAGTAAAGAAATCTAAACAAAATAAAATTAAGTAAAAAAAAACTAAACTATTACAGAAACGCATACCCCAACTTTACCCGAAAGCCAGTGTGAGTCAACTATCCAGCATGTCCTAAGATCCAATCCGTTACCAAAAAGAAATCCTAAGTAGAGGCTGAACTGTTAAGCGGTGCCAAAAATCCAAGTGCGAAATCCAAGATCCCCTACGGCGGATTACATAAGAGGAAACCCAAGAAACTCAGGAATCCAAGGAAACTGTTACCAGGAAAGGTGTCGAAAAATCAGGAGAAATTTATGAGGAAGGATGAAAAATAGGAGAAGGTCCAATTAAAGATGTGATATGTAATTATTTTTAAAAGGTTGTAAGGTTGCAACTATTACAACATATATACAACACTTTTGTTGTAATTGCAATACAATATTATAATTATTATATAGTATTATAATACTATTAAAATTGTAATTATTATATAGTGTTGTAATTATTTTTAATTATACAAATATGTATTATAATATATTAATTATTTCTTTTTATAATGATATTTATTCTATAAAAACTTATTTTTGTAATTTTTATTTTTCAAAAAGAAAATTTTTGAATAATCATAAGTGTTGTAATATTACAACACTTTAACTTTAAAAGTAGTAATAGATTGCAACCCTTACTATTACAACATAAGGTAGTAATTATCAATTACATACTACATCTTTAGGTCCAATAGCGGACAATTTCATTTTATTAGTAATACCTTGAGCTGATTCTCAATGATGAAAGAAAACAGAACGGCATAACCAGATTTGAACATAAAGATCAAAATGAAAGTTGTGTAAAGGTGTATCAAAAATAGACCAAATAATGGATGGTGAAAAATAGGTTCCAAGAAAACTTGTAAGAGTAGTGTTTGGAATCGAATATATTCAAATATACTCGAGTATTCATTTAAATTTATAAAGTGTATTCGAATAATATTCGAATAAGTTAAATTTCCTTTTATAGTAATGATTTATATAATTTTTAGCCTGAATTATGATTTTAATTCAGTTAAATTTAAGGATTTAATGCCCAATTAGAATTTTAACTATACTATATCTGGCTTAATGAATACTCAAATAACCACTATGCTTATTCGAATACTCGAATATATTCGAGTTATTCGAATAACTGTTACATGCTTCCAAACACTATGTAAGAGACATCAGTATAAGTCCACGTGTGAGTCGCAGACAGGAATTTACATTTCCAACAATCAATAGCCATAAATTTCGCAACAAAGGAGTCCGGTAAAAGTTGCAAAAGAGTTGCGGAAAGAAAGTTCTCAAGACAAACAGTTTTAAGGTCCAGCAGAAGTGTTTTGAAGGTATTAATATAAAAGGACTAAATTCAGGTAAAATATAAGGACAAGTCCATAAGTGGTCTAAAGTTTTAGGAGAGGAGTTGCACTGAGGACAGGGCCAACTCGGATCATAGATATGAGCCTTTCGTTTTTGAAGAGTTGTGAGTATTGGAAGCATATTCAATAAAATCTTGATACAGAAGACACAAAATTCAGAGCGGCCATTTCGATGGGAAATTTGTAATTGTTTATTATTAAAACAAAATTTGGTACATATACAAGCCCAATCAATATCTGAAATAGAGGAATTAAGATTGAATCTTGGTAATAAAGCACGAGTCAAAAGAGTCTTGGCATTAAAAATTTCTCTAATGAATTTCCGGATATTCATATCCACTGGTAAAAAATTAAATTGTAAAATACAAGGAGCCAAAAGTGCAGGTGACTGAAGGGAAAGACGCGAGTCCGTATGAGCAGCTTTCGCTAAATTATCAACGTGATTATTCAAAGAATCGTCAGCGTGAGCAGGAACCTTGATTAAAGTAACTTCCAGATTCTTTTGTAAAATAATAGCTCATACCGAAGACTATAAAAGATAGTTAGATTCTTTAAGCATTCAAGGAATGAAGGGAGCGTCCACATACGTAAACCATAAGGAAATTAATTGAGTACAATCAGTGGCGACAGTAATGTTGAAATTCCGAGGGAGGGAATCCAATCCATGCAATAAGGCAAAAATTTCAGAACGCAATGCAGAAGGAAAAAAAGAAGGAATGGTATTATAATGAAATTCAAGAATAAATCCATCAGAATCGATAGCAGTCCATACATAAGCCATCGAAGGTATCGAATAACTAGAAAAAGGAAGGAAAGAACCATCGATGTAGAGTGTAGACACCGAAGAAGGAAGTTGGATATCGGAAATCTTAGACACTTGGTTGTTCATAGGAAGTGGTTGAACCAGAGCAAAAAGATGAAATAATAATAGAGATTTGGCATAGCCTAACGAGGCGGAAAGTAAAACTGAACGAGTATCCGCATGTATATATGTATGAGGCTTCGTAGGGTAACGGATAAGATTTGATAGAGGCACATAAGAGAAGCACTTTTCAGAGAGACATTGTTTAATCAATGTTTTGGAGGTAGAGGATCGCGGAATAGCAGAAGTACAACTTTGGTATGCAGTAAATTCGGATAATAAGTCATCGACAGATAACGCAATCCAATGTGAAATAAGAGCTTCATTTCGTGGAGCAGGATAGATAATGATCACACGGCCAACAAGGAAAGAGTTAGTATTACGATTAAAAGAAATAGCCCATTGAAGATTAAACAAATAATTTTGACTAATTAGAAAAAATAGAAGCTACAGTATAGGAATTAGGTATTCTAAATTGCGGTAAAACAAAAAAGGAAGAAGAATTAGGAATAACAACAAAATTAAATAAATAAGTAAACCAAGCAGGCACAGATCCTTTGTTTGAAACTTGTTTAAAAAAACGTAAATCTTTCCATGAGAGAAGTCAAGAGCCATACGGAATAACCAATTGTGCAAGGAAACGAGTACAAAAATTTTTTTGAATGTTTTTCATAGAAATAAATAATTCTTTGGGTAATATAGACCGGAGTGGAATCGCCAGATGTAGATCTTTTCTCGGAGGTCAGAATAATAAAGACCACATAATATTCAATCGAGAAGAGAACAATAAAGAATTAAATAAAGAATGTGTTCGAAGAGAAAAGGTATGAGACCATGGTTCTAAATCAATAGTAGAAGGACAGGCATCACAATCTAGAAAGCCTTAGAGATAAGTAATCATATAATTGGCAAAAATTTTGTATAAAGGGTGAGAAAAAATTCTTTGCTATGAAGCCACATGAAATGATAAAAAGCGACCAAATGCTTGTTGGATTGAAAATGGCAACAATGTGAAAAGCGCAGAAAGAGGAGTGACTGAAGTAAAACCAGCCTTCTGTCGAATAAGGGAAAGCATTGGAGAAACCATGCGATTAATGGTAGATTCAGCAAATAATGTGGTTTGTAGGCGAAATTCTAGTCTCGGAAGTAAGACAATATTATAAAGATAAGCCACATGTTGTGCCAAAAGTTTTTTAGGACTAAGTAAAGCAGCCATATCTTTGACCATAGAAGTACATTGATCGTGAACAAAATGAGAGGAAGCCGAAAGGCAAAACTAAACACCTAAAAAATGGAAAGACTTAGATAAAGCTAACGCCTTTAAAGTAAGGGAACAAATTGGGATTAAGGGAGATGGAAAAAAATCAAACACCATAGTTTGAGAAAATTGTTCAGAAGAAAGAAGGATATATTTAGCGAAATTTGCTTGAGTATTATTTAAAGTATAAAATTCAGCAGTAATGGAAAGGTGATCTTCAATTCCTCGTTTAGATGAAGCAATCAAAGTAGAATCATCCATAAATGTAATATGTGAAACAGGAAGATTATGTTGTTCATATTCAATCGGAGAATAATCCAATAATGCAGAGGATTTCAAAATAAAAGAATCACAAGCTTCTTGATTAAGTGTTATAAGCAAAGGATCTAAATAAATCACCCATAATAACGGGGAAATAATTTCACTCTGGTCAATACCTATTCTAACTTTGTAACCAGAAGTATCACCATAATGGGTAAGAATTTTGTTATTGCGTCTTGTAAAAAGATTAATGATAAATTTGATCAACAAAGGTGGGATATGTAAACGCATTAAAGCCAATTTAAGCATATTTAGGTCAATCAAATCAAAGGCCTTTGAAATGTCTTGGGAAACAATCCATAACTCTTGGTCATCAGTTTTATCAAAGCGGCGTTGATGAATAATAACATCAAGCATTTTAATAGGAATGTTAGTGGAACCGCCAGGTAATCCAACAAAATTACCACCTTGCAATACTTGGTTATCAGCTAGGATTTTTGAAAGACGAGTTGTAACGACCTTAACCACACATTTTTGTACAGTTTCTAATAAAGTAATAGGTCATGTATTCTTTAACTGGACGTCAAATTCATGAGGCTTGGGAATGGGATAAACAAGCGCTTCACGCCAATCGGCAGGAATATTTTCATGAATAAGGTAGGCATTGGCTAATACAAGGGACAAGTTGAAAGCTTCTCCAGTTAAATGTTTGAGCATCTCATAAGAGATCTTAGAAGGACCAGAGGCTTTGTTATTAGGCATAGACTGGATAGTAATCTTCCATTCTTCATCCAGAATAGGAGACATGACTGAGCTATATAAAGACGAGTCAATATCAGAAATAGGAGTATATGCTCTTTGCCAACATGGAGGAAATTCATCAATAGAAGAATATTGGACTAAAGGAGGAGTAACAACCGATTGGAAATGTTTAATGGCAGCTTGTTTGATGTCTGAAGGTTCAGTAAGTAATGTGGGTTTGGAGTCAATTACAACCAAGACTCTATCAAGAACGATAGAGCGATGTTCCATCAACAGAGCTGAAGAAATAAAAGAACCTGGTGACGTAGAGAAATGCTCGTCTCTAAGAGCAGTATAATATTCAATGGAATCCACACGATGTTGATGAAATTGCGTAGAAAGAAAGGCGGAGATCAAAGCTTTTTGTAAACACAAAAATTTGACAAAAGCAGGAAGTGGTGTTGTACTATAATCAGGTATAGTATAATCTGTAAAAAGAGATTTCAAAAGAATCAATTGTGTAGGTAAAGAATTAATCTTTGCAAAATTTGAGCGGGATGACTAATCCTAGATGTGGTCAATTTAAACAATAATCTGTCCAAGAATTTGTTGATAGCAATAAGCATTGTAAGATCGGGAGGATATTTATGGTGATGAGTATTGAAATGGTAGAGAATCAATGGCACCACCAAGAATAGAACATTTAAGAGCAGGGTTGGGATTCGTGCTGTACTGTACCAGTACATTTTGTACAGTATGTACAATACTGTACTGTACTAAAACTTTTTAGTACAGTACATTTTCATATATATGCAATATATTATATATGTAACTTATTAATTAATATTTATACAAGTTATGTAAATTTATTTATTATATATTATAAAAGAAAATTATACATTAAAAGGATTACACAAATTATCTTCAAACATAAATTCTAATTTCCATTTAGCATCAATATTTTCTGCTGGATGCTCAATATCTTCAACATTTATATCACTAAAATCTTTTTCACTTTCACTATATTCATCATGTTCACCATCATATTCATCATTTTCCTCTTGCTGTAGTTCTTCTAACCATTCGTTTAAATGATCGTTAAATTGAGAATTTAAATTTTCTTTTAAATCCATGCTACCTTGATCATTATTAAGATCATTATCATTTAATTCTTCATTTTGTAAATATCTTTCATTTTCATTTTCATCTCTGATTTCATTTTCATTATCATTTTTATTTTTATTTTTATTTTTGGTCATAGTATTATTAGCAGATTTTTGTTGATCATTACGTCGATTATAGTTAATATCAGCTCGTAATTTAGCCATTTCTAATACTTGAGTAAACTACATAATTAATATAAATATATAAAAAGATTATTAATTTAGTATTAATTAATTTAATGTAATTACGTTATAATATAAATTTACCTTTAATCTATTTCTATTTTTTGTATGAAAGAATCCTATACTACTCCATAATCGCTCTACTGATGCTGCATTAACACAAATGCCAAACATATGCGCCACGACAGTTCCAATTTCTGGGTAAGTATCACGAACCCAACACCAATATTTGTGAATATTACCTTTAAATTGAGCAACAGATGCTTCATCAAAAGGATATTTAATTCCTTGCGAAAAATCATCAAATTCTGTAAGAATAGATTCAGGATTATGACCAATTTAAGCTTTATAATAGTAAACTAGCCATTTTTCCATGTGTAAATAACTAATTTTTGATTTTGAGGGCATTAGAAAATATTTCATTTTGTATGTAGGATGAAGTAACCAGAATAGTATGAAAATTGGTTGCTCCCACATCTCCCATCTTTTCTGTAATCGTAATAGAATTTCATCAGCCATATCATCATCTGGAAATTCTTTCCAAAATTGATATAAATAAATAAGCAAAACAATGCAAAACTTCATGTAATCTTGCTTTATCAGTTTGCAAGATATTAAGGACATGACAATAAGTTTCTAAAAGAAATTCTAAAGTTGTTAACAATTCCTAAAAAGTGTCATCCATAATTATAGAATAAATTTCTCGTGATATTGCTAATGGCTCAGTTGCTCGATGTCGTTTTGAAGAAATAGATGGCTCAAATTTTGCAGCTAAAGACTATAAATAAAAAATTATTTAATATAAATAATATATATTATATTACTAGTAAAGATTTATTAAAAAAGAAAATTTCTTACACGCAAAGCTTCCTTAGTTGAAATTAAACTTTGACAGCAATTAAGATAACTGTTCCACCTGGTATCTCCAGGAATTGCAGGCTGAATGTATTTTCCATATATTTCCTTTTGAATGTTTCGAAGTTGACCTATAAAATATTTGTGATTTGCATTTTTAAAATAAGCCGCTAACTTTAGTGCTTGATCCGATGTTAATTTAAAATCTGGTAATGCCTTAAAGATATCCCCAACACACAAATTTATCTGATGAGCGAAACAAGGCAAAAAAACAATATTACGATATTGAATTCGAAGTCTTTTTCTAAAATTTTAATTTAATAAAATTAGTAAAATATAGTAAAGCATTTAAAAGTATTTATTAATTAAATAATTATTTACGTACCGTGCAGCATTGTAAGCAGGTGCACTATCTGTAACAATAGCTAAAAGTGTTATTTTCATCTTGTTTATTTCAGATATCATTCCTTCAGTTTTAGACATAACTTCAGTAGTTGTTGTACGCTCACAACTTATATCTTTAGCTTGCCATGCAAAAGGTTGCCCATCAGATGTTACGAGCACAGTTCCCATCAATTCCTGTTCACGAACATTTGTCCAACCATCAAAAGACATCGTAACTCCTATCCGATCTAATTTCAATTTTTCTAGCATTGTCTTATCAAGCTCTTCAACTGCATCACCCAAAATTTTATTAGATAAAGTTTTTCGATCTGGTAATTTGATTTCTGGATTAAGAAATTTAAATAATTCAATAACTTCTGAATTATTTACCCAATTCAACGGAAATCCACAAGAAATAGTAACTCGTAATATCAGATGATGGAATTTTTGATTTTCTGCAGTTGAAAGAGGCCGGCAAATCCATTTATCTAAAGGTCCATGATTTGACCATTGGGATGGAAGGGAAGATAAAGAAGAGCGGGATGAAACTGAATCTCTTCGTAATAATAGTTGTTGATTGGATGAATCATTTGTATTTACTTCCATTAAATTACTCTTTTTCATGGCAAGAGCAAATACTTTACTTTTTTCATCATTATCATACGCATCATGAAAGTTTCTACAATTTTTGAAATGAGTAATCAACCTTTCAGTTTTATCTATAATTGTTTTTAGCTCCAAACTATTTTTGCCAAGCTTTGTAAAACATGCTTTACAATAACATAAATTGTTGTTTCCGCTCTTTTTATTTGTTTTAACGATATAATTTTTCAAGCTTTGAACCATTACGAAAGTTAAAAAAAAGATGTAAATCATGATTATCGTCATATATAAAATAATGCGTATTACCATAAATAGTATGATACATGAGATACGATAAATAAATATATGCATTCTTATCATTTATTACTTTGCGTCTTGCATCTTTGGTTCAAATAAAAAAAATCATTTAAATTTTTTTTTTTCAAGATACTTCATTCAAATGAACAATCTTAAATTTCATCCCATCTGTTACTAAAAAAAATGAAAAAAACCGTTCAGTATTATTTTTTAATTTAATATTAAAAAAAGTATTCTTCCACGTCTAAATGGCCCAACCTATTACAATTTACCTTCAAACATCCACATATATCTCAGAATCTGAGAGCTAGTATAATAACATTAAACAATAATTAATGCAATTTCTTTAAATAAATATTAAAGAAATATATAAGTAATATAACTTTGCACTCCATCATTCGTATTTACCTTAGAATTATATCTCACCTATTATAACATTGGATTTTCTTAAACCAAATGAATAAATAATATTAGTGAGCTGAACTTTATTTTTTTATTTCATAAGCAGTCAGTTCTTCAGATCTTTAGAGGCAAGTATCAATTAATTTTTTTTTAATTCATCTTCTTAATAAATGGTAGTTAATGTGGCTAATTTGTTATCTCACGTTCTTAAAAAAGAAAAAGAAATGACATTAATATAATTTCTTTAATAATTATTAAAAAAATAAAATCTAACTCAAAAATTACCTTCAGTTACAACTTATGAAATATATCATTAATATATTTTGAACAATTAGAATAATTATATTTTTTCTTTCTTATTTAAACTTTTTAAATAGCAGCAAAGATAATTAATTTATTATGTTAAAACAGATAGTACAAAAATAAAATATAGTTCATTATTGATACGGGAATAATAAAAAAATAGTTAGAAAAAAATAAAATAAAATAGTAGTTTGGAAAATCAGAGATAAAATATAATAAACAAAAAAAAAAAAATTCTGTATGAATATACGAAAATTGTACGAAGTACATTCGTACAGTGTACAACCTCATCAAAATGCAACTGTACTAAATTGTACTGAGTACATCGTACAATGTACGAGTACTGTACTTGTATGAAGATTTGGCTCGTACACCACATTTGGACAACTCTGTTTAAGAGCGTGCCAAAGTTTGTCCAATGAAAGAGCTGAAAGTGAAGATATGGAAGGATGGTGTGTAGCCAAATACAACTAAAGACGTGAGCTTACTTCATTGGAAAATGTGTCCCAAGTATCTTCTTTTAAATTCTTGTACAGAAAAATGGTGCGTTGTTCACTTTTCTGCTTTAATCTAACTTTGGCTAAGGTAGCAAAACAAAAGCTAAAGTCGAAGGCCGTAAAAAGAACATGGTAATCAGTAAATTAATTATCATTCAACTTAGGACAAGATTCAACATGAGAGAAAAGACCGGGAGCAGGAAATCCAGAGGATGACCAAATATAATCAAGTCTGGAAGAACCATTCTGATAATAAAAAGTAGGACTAGGATCTGAAATTGAAGAAGTATGGGATTGATGATCTGTAAAATATCGAAAAGAAAGTGATCGCAAAATTTTCAAATGATGTTGAAGAAGATGTGAATGTGAAAGTTCATCTGCATTAAAGTCACCAAGGATGACTACATGATAATTATTAGAACGGGCTTTATCAAGCCATAAATTAAATTGTGCAAAAATAGCATCCCGTTCTTTATAATGAATAGAATGATAAGGAGGAATATAGACAAAAATGATGGAAATTTTTGTTTGATGGAAAAAAAGATCCAATTTTAAAAGACGACCTTTCCAAAGATCAATCTTTTGAACATGTTTATGTAAAGGATGGTGAAGTAAAAGACCAACACCATCATGTGGTCGTGAATTAGAAGGGGAAGGAGCCCAATAGGACTTAAAATTATGTTGAAAATGTTCATTTTGATAAATAAATTTAGCACTAGAAGAAGTAAGACGAGTATCATTTAAAGATAAAACGCTGAAAGAAGAATGAAGAAAATAATTTAACAAATGCAATTGTAGAACGGGGGAGCACAAACCATTAACATTGATTTGTCTAAAGTTAATAAGAGGGGAAGAAAAAGAAGGAGAAGACGGATTGTTAGGACTATTATTATTAGATATCGTACTATTAGGGGGGTGAAATCCCTGTGATGCACCCGATATAAATTGGTGTTCAATCATTAGAAGGGGAAAGTTTTGAGAAAGAGAAGGAGTCCAATTTTTCCATAATCGAACCAAGTTGGGCAGAAAGATTCTTTTGTACATTAGTGACACTAGAAATTTCCAATTGCAGACAGGAAGCAATAGCATCGGAGTAATGATAGTAGGCGGGAGTTAGGTAATGGGACATATCTGCGTGATAAGACGGAGTTAGGATCTAGAGTTGAGAAGGAGGCATCAGGAGAAGTGTCCATAAGAGAAGGGGAAGTATGGGAAGAAAGATTGAATCCAGAAGTCATGTCTTGGGTTGGGGCATCATCCCATCCATTATCATAAGAATGATTTTGATTTTCATGATCATCACGAGGCAGATACAAATCAGAGTCACCAGGGGTGTTATAATTCATCATTGATTCAAGCTCAGAATGCCTATACTCATGGGCCATGATGGTATCATTCATCCAAGAGACAGTTTCCTCTAAAGTATTGAGGGTGTTAGCAATCTTTTCGATTTGCGCCTTTAACTCATCAATGATGTGTTGAGAAAGCGTACAATTAGGTTGTTACTTGGAGAAGTAGATGTAGAACTATTAGAATGAAGAGTGTACGGAAATTGGGTAGAACTAACAGAATTTGCATTGTTCCTAGAATTGGTATTATTGTTACTGGACTGATTGTTACAGTTAGGAACATTGGAACGGGAAGTATTAATGTTATTATTGTTATTGTTAGATCTGGATGAGGACGAATTATTACGGGATCTAGAGGTGGATCTTGATCTTGAGCGGGAAGTGGATTTATTACGTGATTGGCGTGAATTCTGATGACCACGTCGAGGACCAGCATTAAAGCGTGAATAGAGTTTGTTAAGGCGATCATCTACTTTACATGTGGGACGAGGGTTACATACAGAAGGGGAGCAGCCCAAACGTCCGCAAACATAACATAAAGTGTGAGCTTCATTAGGAAAGTGCCATGTTAAACCTTTACCGCGGAAAGCCACGGATAATTCTTTCGTGGCCTCAAGGGTATCAAAAGAGGAGAAGTTTAAATATACATAAGGTTTGGGCTTGTAAGAATTGATAGAAAGGGGAACATTAAGAGCTTTAGCGTTAACTTGAGTAGCAATTTCTAAAAGGTCAGCTTCTTTGATATTTTTTGGGATACCGGCAAGGATGGCGACATGTTCTCTTCGGCTGTTGTGTTGGGATTTCGAGAAAGATGTCAGACAGACACGTAAAGAATTACCTAGGCAAATAATCGCCCAGATATCGTTGAATTGGGTAATTGCATCTGCGGAAGAAAATTGGATATGACTATTATAATAATGTTTTTTAGGGGTGAGTTTGCACTTGATCACAGTGCCATATCGGGAAAATGCCTGGCGGACTTGCATCTCGTTTAGGAAAAGTGGGATGTCGGTGACAAACAAAGACTTCGCTTCATCACTGAGTTTAGCACAGCGCGGAAAAAAACCTTGGAAAAATTTCAGAAAAATTCCGGTTAAATATAAAAATTCTGGAAATTTATTTTTTCAACCGGTATGGAATTATGGAATTAAAAAAAAATTCCGGTTTTAGATGGTATTACCAAATATATAATAATCTTTTCTTTTTTTTATTCGTGCATATACAATATGGAGTAACCAGAAAAGACGTACTGGCTTTAAATAATCATATTGTAATAAACTACTGAAATAATAAATAATAAAATTAAAGATAAAAACTTTTTTGCGATATAAATTTATTAAATGAAATTTCCGGTATTTACAAAATATTCCGGAAATCTGCTACGCCACGACCGGAACAATTCCGGGATTATAAGATTTTACCGGTTTTATCAGAAATTTACCGGAAAAACCGGTTAAATTATAATGGATTTTCCGCGCTGGTTTAGCATCTGCAGGGAAGTAATGAGTAAAGATTAAATTGAGAAGATCTGCACGTGAGGAGCTGACACAATCGGTAAAATCATGCTGATCATTGAAGACGACAAGAATCTTTTTGTTATTGCCTGATCCATCGCAGCATGCGCGGGCACCATAGGAGGAATATCGGGAGAGTGAACAATCCACTTCGTCACACATAGAGCGATTGGTGATGAATTTAGCTTTGAACGCGTTAGGCGTATTACGTAAATAGGCTGCAGCATGATAACGAGATGGTGCGGATTTTATAGCGGCAGCATTACCATCGGAGAATGGCCGGCGTTCAGGAACATCGAAGGCAACAGATTTACCTTTGTCATTAAGGGAAGGGTTTGTAGAAACAGGAAGGGGTGGGCATATATAGAAGATTCTAAAGACGTATCAGCAGAAGGAGGTTAAGTTATAACAGGAACTTTATTAACGGGAAGTCCAGAAAAAATGGTGAAAATGTGGGTGGGAGCAGGAGCAGAGGGTGAAGTTATATTAACATTCATAGCGTCATCAAAGACAATACACGAACATTTGTTAGGCGCGCCAGCGGTATTGGTAGGAGACAAAGGTCGGTCTCCAGACGGAGCAGAAGTATCAGGACGTGGTGGCGGCAGAATATCTGGGTTAATAACAGAAAGAGCTAGAGGTATAGTCATAGTTTAAAGCTCAGTAAAGAGGAAGGCAACTGGGAAATTATTAGTGTTATGAACGAGCACTTAGAAATTTTCGAACGAAAATTTCAAAAATAAATTTTTTATTAGTATTTTCAAGTTTTCAGCAATGATTCTCCATATTTGGTGATTATGAGCAAACAGTCTTATGACTTTATCTTTTATTATAAATTTTAAACGAAAAGTACAAGAATCAAATCGAACAATATTACAAAATATAGAAAATTAAACAAAAAATAAAAAGAACTAGCTTCACGATTCATACAAGTAAAGAAATCTAAACAAAATAAAATTAAGTAAAGAAAAACTAAACTATTACAGAAACGCATACCTCATCTTTACCCGAAGGCCAGTGTGAATATTTGGTGATTATTTTACAAGTGTTTTGTAAGTTTAGTGGCCACTACTTTCCGCATTCTCTATTGAAGGCTATGGAGGTAGGTCGTTCATTGCATCATCCTCACTAAGCCATGATGTAACCATCCCCGCCAATATTTGGTGATTATAAAGAGATTTGACTATATAAAAAATTTCTTATATTTGTATATCATAATTCCGGCCAAAAATTAATATAATTTTAGCCAGAATTATACTTAAAACTTTATTGTATCGTAACTTCGCCAATATTAATCATAGAGAGATGATCTTACCGCAATTCGATTCGTCTTAATGAGACGGTTCTAATGGTATAAAATACGTTGAAATCCAATCACTAGATTAATTTCTGAAATTAAAAAAATATTAATGGTTTTTGTGTAATAACTCTGCCAATATTGATTCTAGAAAGACGATCCTACTACCATTCGATTCGTCTTGATGAGACGAATCTAATGGTATAAGATGCATCGAAATCTAATCACTAGATCAATTTCTAAAATTAAAAAATATTAAATGGTTTTTAAGTAATAACTCCGTCAATATTAATCACAGAGAAATGAGCTTACCACCATTCGATTCGTCTCGATGAGGCGATTCCAACGAGCTATAAATCGTCATTTTACAATCACTAGGTACTGAGAAATCTAGCAAAATGTTAAATGGCGCAGTAAACGTAAATCAAGAAATATTATAATGCCGATGTTTAACATTTTGTTGAATAACTCGTCAGCCAGTGATAGGAAAAGGATAAAACAAAAACTAAAAAGGATAAAACTAACTCTCTCCCGTTGCCCTCACGACATTATTTACATAAAAATAAAAAATTTTTTTTTCAAAGTTTTTTATTACTTTTTCTTTTATTTTTATCTTTTCTATTCTTATTCTGGCCTATGGCCTCTTCTCACGACTTCTCAACCTTGAGTTGGGATGAAGTTCTTTCCAAACTTCGCGAAGTTGAAGACCTTTGCGCTAAGTGCGCCCTTAAACAAGAAACTCTTTTTGCTTGTTACAACTCTCTTCCTGATAACTCTTCCGCCAAGTCACTTGCTTACCTCGCTTTTGGCCCCCTCCGCCTTCTAGACGACTCTCTTTCTGAACAAAAACGCCTTTTACACTTGCGTTTGGACTCTCTTTCGTCTACTGCGGATTCAGAAAAGGATTTCGCTATCCCCCCTGTTGACGATCATCTATCACATGATGATCCAATGAATGATGATCCACCTCCTCTTCCATTAGCTATTTGGGCTTCTAAACACGAGGCTGATCCTAATAGTATCTTAGATTTATGCACCCCTTCTACACGACGCACCAATCATTTACGCCCTTCACGGCGTATTCCTAGATTTCTTTGTAAACGCGTATCCTCTATGATTTCCCCTGCATCTTTTAAACGCGCACAGAAAATTAAGACAAAATTGTCTTTTACGCGTCTGGTTTTATCCCCTTCTACAATACGTTTACTGGTTCCACCTTTATTACGTTCTTCCGAACCTAAAAGTTCCTTTCAAGATGATCTCCCGGACTCCTCTTTCATTACTCCCCAAATTTCAGCTCTAGTAGATACTGTTGAGTATGACAATAATGTTCCTTCTCCGGCCCTTTCTTTAAATAGTACTCCTGCGGAAATTTTTCCTGCAACTTCTGCTTCAGCCCTCCCTCTTGATCACACACGGTGTTCATCTTACATTTTTACAATACGTACCATTCTGGATGGACGGATACGTCCTGTTCGAAATGTTGGCTCTAACCGTTTATATTCTATTCGACGAGGCAACTGTTACTTCCTTTTGGACCCCACTCCTGATTCGGATATTTGTTATTCGATTCATACCAATTCTCCTCTTCTTTCATCTACTGATCCATTTCAATTTACATCTGATCGTCCTTCTCCTAACTTAAAATTTATCTTATCCAAATTTTTAACCTTTTTCTTTTATCGACAAAACCGTATTCCCTCTCATGCTCGACGAAAATATTTCAATAGGTTACGCCAGCTTTTATTAACACAACGTGTTACCTCTCTTGCTCGTTGGTCATCTTCTCATCGTAATAATAGACGTACTCGTACTTTTATTCAATTTCGATATCATCAATCTTGCTTTTACCTTGGCCTTTATTTTGGTTGTCCGTTTTGCAAGACTCCTGCTGCCTATGTTATGTCTCAATTTCGTCATGCTTGTCATCTTCATGACAAACAACTTGTTCATACACCTCCCCCTCCTACTTCTCCTCCTTTCACTTTACCTTGTAACCGTGTGTCTAAACGACACGCTGATGGTTTTTATAAAGATGTAACTTCCCGACGTCTAGGACTTTCTTACCGCAAATCTTATGCTTTTCATCATCTTCTTGAAGACAATAATGGTTCACTTTCTGCACGAACTCTTGTCTCATATTCTGCTCACACTTCCATCTCCCACCCTACGAAGAAACAACTTGCTCGTCAAGCACGCCATAAAGACCTTTTATTAGACCGGAGTAAATTTTCACGACATGTTGTTCACCCCGATCTTCTCGACTCTTCTATGTGGATGGCCACTAAGGATCCTGCTATAGTCATTCCTCCTACCTCCTATAACTTGACTATGTCTACTACTGATTACTCTATTGTCCAGAATATATGTAATCTTGTATCCTCGCGTCCTGATGTTTCCTTCTGTTTGAAAAAACGTTCACATCAGTCTTCTGTTGCGTTCGTATCTTCTAAATTTACGGGTTCTATCCAAAAAGTGGTTTTGAATCCCTCCTCTGTAGTTGCAAATCATTTTATTACTGACAAACCCACCTCAGGTCCTTTTGTTGGTCCAAATTGTCCTGTTATTGATTATCAAGATTTTAAAACTCTTGGCTTTAGTCGTTTTATTATTGATATGGTTCGAAGGATACTCTCGAATAGTGCTTCCATTTATGTACCTTCTCACAATTTCCTTTGGTTAATAATTTCCAAGCACAACACTTCCTCAGTATCAAAGAAATATCTTCGAGATGCCATCCAATCTGTTATCACCAAATCGGCCTCCTCTTCGACATTTTCACAATTTTGGAATAGTGATACACGGTTTTCTTTCAAACTAGGTCGTGTTAAACCTTGTGATATCTTATCGTTATTGGACATTTGTGCACCTTGGTTTGATTCACATCCTTACCCTGCTCCTTCTGATTTTCGATCACAGTGGGTTTTACCCGCTGATTTTGTTCATCCTACCTTTTTAATGCGCTAATAACGCTGGTTCCCTTTTATTTAATTACTTTCTTTTATTTTTTTTTAATCGTTCTCCTTTTTCACTTCTTTTATGCTTATTTTAAGCTTTCCTATTTCCCTTCTCTCTATGAATACAAATTTTATCATTCTGTATCGGAAATTTATATACAGCGCTTTAGCGATTGATGAATTTACTTTATTGAACTACAAATTTTTACAACATTTTATGTCAGCCAGAATTTACACATAAAACTTCGGTTAAAGATTAATTCGACTAGCTTGCTAGTGGGGTATCTCAGCTGCTTCCAAATTACGTAGCCCATCTATTAATTCTTCTCCTAATACTACTTCTCCACGACAACACAACTCTTCTTTGGCGTCAGTTTCTCAGGATTCCTGGATTTCTTGGATATCCTCTTCTATAATTCGGGGTGGATCTTGGATCTAGCACTTGGATTTTCTGCGCCGCTTAACAGTTCAACCTCTTAGGATTTCTTTCTGGTAACGGACTGGATTTTTGGATGTTGGATAGTTGACTCACACTGGCCTTCGGGTAAAGTTGGGGTATGCGATTCTGTAATAGTTCAGTTTTTCTTTGCTTTAATTTTATTTTAGTTTAGATTTCTTTACTTGTATGAGTCGTGAAGCTACTCTTTTTATTTTTTTATTAGTTTACTTTCTTATTTTGTAATATTGTTCGATTATATTTTCGAAGTCCAAAAGTATAAATAAAAGATAAAGTCAAAAGACTGTTTGCACAGGAAAAGGATAAAACAAAAACTAAACTAACTCTCTCCCGTTCTGCTCACTTGACAATATTTATGGAAAAAATAAAAAATTTTTTCGAAGTTTTTTATTACTTTTTCTTAATATTTTCTTTATTTTAGATAACTACGACACTCTACAAATGGCTAAAGATAACAAAAAGAAAGATAACAAGTCTAACAAAGATACTACTTCTAAACGTCCTGCCTCTAGCTCTCCAGAAGGCAATGTTTCTGGTCAAGGTCCCTCTATATCTGGCCCTTCAAATACTCCACCTTCGACCACCTCTACTAATAAACGTACCAGAGTCAGTGCTGATGACTCTGTCATGGATGTTGATAAACCTCTCACGCCTTCTGGCCCTGTTGAGACAACTTCCGCTGAGACACCTTTTCAACCTATTACCTCCTCTCTTGACGCTTCTCTACATGCACCTGCTCATAACAACGATAAAGGCAAAAGCCCAGAAATTACTCCCGCAGTTTCCTTTCCCGAACGTGCTGGTTCCCCGGACGCGTCCTAAGCTGCAGTACAATCTCAACCTACACTTTTCTACGCTTCGGCCGCTCCTAATGACGTCGAAGGCTTTTGGAAATACTTCGCTTCGAACCGCGACGCGTGTGACGCGGTTGATCGACAACTTTCCTTGTTCTCCTCTTATGGTAGTCGTGCCACGTGTAGTGAATCCAACGATTTGAAGAGGATCATCGTACACTTCTGAAAAAAGGATGATCTTGACAAAGCCATAGCTTCCCCTATGGATTCTTTGTTTGGCCTGCATTTCCATGCATATGACCCCCAGGCTATTAAGGCAGATGAACACGCACGTACCCTGGTGGTTACCGATATCCCCCTTTTTATAACTGACGTTCTTTTGCGTGGTACCTTTTCCCGTTACGGCAATATTACTCGCTGCCATACCCGTTTATCTAAACTTTACCGTACTGCATACATTACCTTTAAATCTACTGGTGCTTTACAAAATCTCGACTCTACCTGGGGCGTCCTTTGTGGAGGACATTGTTTGAGAATCTGCCCCGCTACTTTCTCACCTGACTAACGCGCTGAAAGACGAGCTTATGTTGCTTTACTTGCCGGTCTTGCGCGTGGTACTATAGCGGTTGATCTTGCTGAAATTGCCGATGAAATTTCCGCTAAATCTATCAATGTTCCCTTCTCTATGAATTCTTACAATCCCAAACCTTACGCTTATTGCCATTTTGCCTCTGAAACGGCTATGGAAAATGCTAAATCTATTTCATGTGCCCTCAAGAAAGTTGGCCTTACCTGGCATTCTCCGGATGAAGTCACTTCTCTTTGTCATCGATGTGGTCGCCCTAATTGTAACCCTGATCGATGTGATTCTTCATCTAGACTTAATCGCCCATCTCGCCCTTGGCAATCTAATAATAATTACGTGCTTTATATAACAAGCATTTACCTCCTTCTCACCCTGCTAAATGACACAACCGTTTTGCCCGCCCTGATAACAATAATGATGGACAAAACCGTACCAGTGCTTCTCGCCATCGCTCTAAATCCAGACCTAATAACCGACAACAATCTCGTTCTCGCTCTCAACGTTGACCATAGAATCGCGATAATCTCAATAATGACAATAATAATCAACGTCGTCGTATTCCTGACGCAAATAAACTTGATCACTATGCTGATGGCATGGATGTTACATACCCTGCCCCTCCTACCGTGCTTACCGATTGGAAATCTATTGGTGCTGCTCTTGAAAAAGTAGTTGCAGAATTAGCCCTTCTTACCACACAATTTGCTACCATGAACAGCCGCATCACTAATTTGGAATCTGCTATGGCTGCTCGTGCTCCTGTTCCAGGACCTTTTGTTACAAAACCTCCTTCCTACATCCCTTCCTCTATGCAAGGATTAGATGATACAGTGAATCAAACTAATAATAATATCCTCGTCGATGTTAATTTTCCCCCTTTGCAATCAACAAGTGGATTTTCCCCGATTCCTCATTTTGCTCCTATTCCACCTACCAACGTCGCTCCTTCCTCTCCTATTGATATGGAACAGCGTCTCTCCTCTCTCTCTGATACCGTTGCCTCTTTGGCTGGCTCGATTAAAGAAGGAATTCAACAAAATAATCTCATCTTAGCTCGCCAAAACGGCCAAGCTAATCATTAATTGTCCTCTTTCTTTCCCTTTCTTTATTACCGTTTTATCAGTGTGTAATAATGATGGACAACAAAAAACACAATTTTTCTCCTCACCCTTCTCCCCTTATTAAATTTGGTCAAATAAATGTTAATGGTTTATGTTCTCCAGTTCGACAACAACATTTGCTTAATTTTTTTTTTCACTCTTCTTTTGGTGCTTTATCTATTAATGATACGCGTCTTTCCCCTTCAAATGCTAAATTTATTTTTAAAAATGAACATTCCCAACATCACTTTAAGTCCTATTGGGCTTGCTCATCTTCTTCTCGCCCTCATGATGGTGTTGGTATTTTGCTACGTAATCCTCTTCATAAGCATGTTCAAACAATTGATCCTTGGAATGGTCGCCTTCTTAAATTAGATTTGTTTTTTCATCAAACTAAAATTTCGATTATTTCTATATATTATCCCCCTTCTGGTTCTATTCATCAATCCATTTGTAATGATCTTATTGCTAAACTCCTTTCTTGGCTTGATTATGCCAGAAATAATAATTATTTTGTAATAATTCTGGGTGACTTTAATATTGATGAAGTCGCTCATTCCCATTATTCATCCAATCATTTTAAGCTTCTTCGCTTGCTTTCTTCTTGGTTTTTTACTGATCATCAAGCTCACTCTTCTACACATGGTCCTGATCCCACCTTTTTTCATGATAATGGATCTTCTAGACTGGATTATATCTGGTCTTCACCTGGTTTTCCTGCCCCTGGTCTTTTTTCACAAGTGGTTACTTGTTCGAATCTCCTTGATCGTCCTTTTACAGATCACAAAGTTCTTACAACTGTTTTTGACTTCAGCTCATGTCTGGCTATTTTAGCCAAATCTCGTCTTAAACAAAAAAAGGAAATGCGTACTATTTTTTCTTACGCTTCCACTTCAGTTGAACAATGGAATAATTTCACCACTGAAGTAGATGATTCTCTTGGAGTTTATTTAGATAGACAATATCAATCTAATTTTGATTTCTCCTCTCTTTCTCTTGATCGTATGTGGCATGCATTGAAAGCTGCCATAATCAGTGCTGCAATTGCAACATTACCCTTTCAAAAAGTTTCCAATACACACCGACATTCGTACTCTCCTGAATTAACTAAACTTATTGCTATTAACAAGTTTTTAGATCGATTTTTATATCGCCTTACTACTCGTCGTTCTAATCGGCCTACTCAGATTGCGCAAATGACTGCTGCTTTGCCTTCCCATCTTGAAAATTTAGCATCCTTACTTCCTGATTACTCAGTTTCTACCTATTCTACAACCCCTGCATCTGTATTTAAATCATTTTTACGATCACAGAAGAATTTAGTTTCTGCCTTTCTATCTACTAAATTCGCCCAACATCTCGCGGACTCTGTAGAATACTATACCGCATTACGTGACGAACACTTTTCGAACTTGCTCGGTACCTTTATAGACTCTGCTCTATCAGTTGAAAAACGTTCGATTATTCTTGATCGCGTCCTGGTTGTCCTGGACTCAACTCCTACTTTATTAACGGATCCTTCGGACATTAAACAAGCTGCTATTTCTCATTTTCAGTCAATTGTTTCTCCTCCGTTGGTCTGCTACTCTTCCATCACTTTATTTCCCGCCCGATGGCAACAAGCTTACACTCCTCTTGCTAATGTGTCTGCTTCATTATATGATCCTGTTTTGGTACCTATTTCCCTACAAGAATGGTCTGCTGTGATTTCTTCCATGCCTAATAACAAAGCTTTCGGCCCTTCAAAAATTTCTTATGAGATGATTAAACATCTGTCCGGTGAAGCCTTGGATTTCTTTTACTTGCTAATACCTGCCTTTCCCGCGGTGATATTCCTGCTGACTGGCGTGAAGCTGTGGTTTATCATATTCCTAAACCTCACAACTTTGATGCCCAACTCAAGAACACTCGACCTATTACTCTTCTGGAAACGGTTCGCAAATGTGTAGTTAAGGTCGTCACTAATCGTCTTTCCAACATCCTTGCTGAAAATAAAGTTCTTCAAGGAGGTAACTTTGCGGGCCTACCTGGTGGTTCTACTGATGTCCCTATCAAAATGCTTGATGCGATTATTCATCAACAAAAACATGACTCTACTGATGATCAGAAACTATGGATCGTTTCTCAAGATATCTCTAAAGCTTTTGATTCTATGGATTTAAATATGCTTAAATTAGCTTTAGATAGATTACATATCCCTGCACTTTTAGTGCGATTTATTTTGAATCTTTTTACATGACGAAATAATAAGATAATTACTTGTCATGGCGATACAGCTGCTTATAGAGTACGTGTGGGTATCGATCAAGGAGAAATCATTTCTCCTCTTCTTTGGGTTATTTATTTGGATCCCTTACTTACTGTTTTGAATCAAGAAGCACAAGATCCTTTTATTTTAAAATCTTCAACTCTTTTAAATTATTCTCCACTTGAATTTGAACAACATTCCTTACCAATTTCACATTTAACGTTTATAGATGACTCTACACTTATTGCTTCTTCAAAATCTGGAATAGAAGATCGTCTTTCCATCACTGCTGAATTTTATACTTTAAATAATGTTCAAGCCAATTCAGCAAAATATGTTCTTCTTTCATCCTCTTCGCCTTCTTCGAAGATTACTTTTGAACTTTCACCTTCTTTCTTAGTTTCCAATACCTTTCTTTCCCTTTCTTCTTTACCCCTCAATACTTCCTTTCGCTTTTTAGGCGTTTGGTTTTCTTTGTCTGCCTCTTCTGATTTTGTTCTCAAACAAGCGCGCTCCATGGTTAAAGATATGGCTGCTCTCCTGGGACCGAAGAAATTATTAGCACAACATGTGGCCTATCTCTATAATGCTGTCCTTCTTCCGCGATTGGAATTCCGTCTTCAAACTACCCTTTTCTCTGAAAGTACTATTCAATCGATAGTCAAGCCTATATTTTCAGTACTTCGAAGAAAAGCTGGACTCGCAGCAACTACTCCGTTGGCTTTGTTATTTCTTAAACTTCCCTTTTCGATTCGAAATGCTTTTTATCGATTCCTTTCTTACCATATCGCATCTTGGCAAAAAATTTTCACTCATCCTGATTTCAAAGATTTTGCCCTTTATGCTATCTCCTATCTTCAAGGATATTTGGGTGCTGAAAGTTGCCCGACTACTATTAACTTAGAACCATGGTCACATATCTTTTCTTTGCGAACGCACACTTTGTTTAATTCGCTATTGTTTTCTTCGCGTTTAAACATCACGTAGTCTCTTTCCTTCCGGCCTCCGAAGTGTGATCTACAACCTGCTCTGCCTCTCCGATCTATTCTACCACATTCCATTTTTCAATTGAGTTGGAAATTTTGGAAAAATTTGAATATATTTGTGCTTGCCCAATTGGTTTCTCCTTGTGGACGTTATCTTATGAATTGGCCTGACCTTCGTTACCTTGGCATCGTTGGTCGTAAAGGACGGATTCCTAATTGGTTTACATTTATAAAAAATAATTTTCTTTCTTCTTCCTTTTCTTCTTTACTTTTATCTTCATATTTTATTAATTCTTCTTTTACTTTAGCTTCAATTTGTTTATTAGATCATACTGTTAAAGATTATCAATTTTATCCTCAATGGGCTATTAATCTTGATTCCGCTACTCAAACTTTATCTGTTGGTCGTGTGTGTATCACTTATAAGAAACAAAACTCGGCTATTATGTCTCATTGGCTTCCTGTCTCTACCTCGGCTGATGAACGCTCTTATAATCCTTGTCCTGGTTGTGCTTTTAACGTTCCTGCCTTATCCAAGAAATCTGCTATCAAACAACGCTGTAATAGCAAAAAGTGTTTTTTCAATGTTACCCTATCAGAAACTGTGGGCTACCCTACCAGAAATGCCAAAGTATTTGCGGCTTACCTTCCCATAACCTTATCTACTTCATGGAATTATGCTTCTTCTTTGGCTATTGTTCACTTGACGAACTCGTCCTTACCCGCTTTTTCCACCCTTTCTCCGCCTCTCAAGAACAGGATTGAAAATGATGTTTTGCCATCTTCTGTGCAATCTTTGTATACTGATGGTTCTTTCCATCCTGCCAAAGAATCTTTACCTTCTTCTATGACTTCTGCTTGGATCGCTCTCGATGACGATGGATTTATTCTCAAATCTTCCTCCATGCATCTTCCCTCTTGTTTTCCTTCAGCTTTACGTTCTGAGATCTCGGCTGTTATATTAGGACTAAGTGCCCTCTCTCATGATTCTTCAATCACAATTTATACTGATTGTAGTCAATTAATTTCACTATGAACACGTTTTGTTAATGCTCCTTTTTCACCAAAATTGCTTCGAGAACCTAATTATCTTCTTTGGCTTTCTATTCGACAACTTATCATGGATCGTAATCTTAAAGTCGATTTGATTAAAGTCCCTGCTCATGGCGATGATATGTACAATATACAAGCGGATTCTCTGGCAAAAGATGCTCATTCGTCTTTACAACCACCCACTGTTCCACCTTCAGCATTTTGTAATACTCCATGCTTGTTAACTTTTAATTCTTTGCCTATTGACGTGAATATTCGTCATTTTCTCCGCTCCATAGCTGATGCTCGTGCTCTTTTATCTTTTTATTCACTGGCACGTTTTACTGCTCTTGGTCCTCCTTCACACTTTGATTGGGCTGGTATCTATTTTTGCCTTTCACAAATCAAAGGTTTTGCTTCACATAAGAATGGTCGTCCTGAATTTTGGACTTTCCGTATCAAACTTCTCCTGGATATGTTGCCTACCTTAACTACTCTTCAACAACGCAAACCTTATTTATATTCTCCTGATTGGCTTTGCCCGCAATGCAACTCTACCCCTGAGGATTTAAACCATCTCTGGACTTGCCCTTATATTCTTCCTGATCTGAATCCATGTTTAACACATCGTTCTGAAGTCATTAAATTTAGAGATTTTTGTTTATCTTCCTTTTTATCTTTGAAGTCTTTGGATATTTCTTTCCAAACTGAATTTTCTGCTTTAGATTGCTGGAACTATGAAACTCCTTCTCCGTTCTGTCTCTGGCTTACTCGAGGATTGTTGCCTGCGCATTTAACTACATATTTGAATCAACACTTTCCTCTCTCTGTTATATACAAGACTATTTCTCCTCTTCTTAATGAGATGTGTATAAGAGACAGGTTATATACAAGACTATTTCTCCTCTTCTTAATGACTTCCAAGTCGAATTGTATGGTGAAATTTGGCTATGTCAGAATGTTCTTTTCCATGCTTGGGAAGAGTCGCAGGGTATCTCGGCTGCTTCCAAATTACGTGGCCCATCTACAAAATCTTTTTCTCTTGTCACTTCTTCACAAATCAACAACTCTTCTTTGGCGACAGTTTCTCAGGATTCCTGGATTTCTTGGATATCCTCTTCTATAATTCGGGGTGGATCATGGATCTCGCACTTGGATTTTCTGCGCCGCTTAACAGTTCAACCTCTTAGGATTTCTTTCTGGTAACGGTCTGGATTTTTGGATGTTGGATAGTTGACTCACACTGGCCTTCGGGTAAAGTTGGGGTATGCGATTCTGTAATAGTTTAGTTTTTCTTTGCTTTAATTTATTTTAGTTTAGATTCTTTACTTGTATGAGTCGTGAAGCTACTCTTTTTATTTTTTATTAGTTTATTTTCTTATTTTTGTAATACTGTTCGATCATATTTTTGATGTTAAAATATAAATAAAAGATAAAGTCAATAGACTGTTTGCACAGGAAAAGGATAAAACTTATAATGGTTGCCCAGTGAAGATGATAGGATACAGACCCGAGATTAGTCTCATAAGAGGCAATGGGTGGTCTGGCCGTAAACACTAGCAAAGAAAAAGGATAAAACTACCACCATTCGATTCGTCTTAGTGAGACGATTCTAACAAGCTATAATATATCTTTGTATGATTATTAGATGCCAAGTTATTTAATATATTCTTTATATAACTGTAATTATAAACATTTCTTTTTAATATAAGATTTTTGAGGATAGGTATGATAGTGACTATAGATAGATTGTGACTATATAGGATAGATTTTAATAATAAAGTGTTTTGAACATTCAACTGGTATGACTATATAGTAGAATGTGAATATAACAGGAGTGACTATAGAGGGAGTTGACTGTATATCCAATCAGAAAACTTATGATCGTCGTGTCGCACTGATAAACATATCTACATATTACGATAGATTTTTTCACTTTTTTCTCACACTCTCCCAAAATATTTTTTGATTTACTATTTATGATTATTAATAAAATTTAATAAAATTTAGATAATAAAAATTCATTAAAATTTGTTAAAATTAGACAAAATCCATTAAATTTCGTTAAATTTGTTAAAAATTCATTAAAATTCATTAAAATTCAATAAAATTTCCTTAAAATTCATTAAATTTTAGAAATTAGATTCTATACATTGTGTAAAATATATGTATAATTATTATTATTAATAAATTCAATTCTATACATGATACATCGTGTAAATAATTATTATTAAAATGTTAAGAAATATTAAAAATTGTATAAATATTATTTTAAAATTGCATAAAACATTAATACAAACGATACCTCACTTCAATTTGATTGATTTTTTAATATGTTCTTGCTCGGCAGATTATGCTCCTTTTTGCCGGCTTGCTTTGTTTTTCAACTAGGAATAGCTTGAGGGTCCAAATTTTTACATGAATCATAGGACCACTTTTAATCTTAATTGTTGGATCTAAATCACAGTTCATGTCATATAGAAAGGAGACAAGCCTAAGTACGGATTTCATCTTTGCCACTTTATAATGTTCTGCAAGTCTATTTAATGCAGTACATAATTGTACGTCACCGTTTTAGTAGTCTTCTTTGATTTCTTCTAAGAAATCAATAAATGTGGAAGTATTATCGACTTTTTCAATTGAATCTCTAGTGTAAAAGTGCTTAAAATTTAGGATTTTCACAATACAATGGCAAATTATCAAGAAAAAAATTTACAAACCTAAATTCAACAGACGCGTTAGATGCATTGCTACCTGATTTTTTTATTGTTATTTGTAGACTTTCTTGATCTTGTGGAGTAAATTCTGCGTGTAATGATGCGTAAAAAGAATTATCTTTTGCGGTATAATCTAGTAAAGAAATACATAACAAGATAAGAATAGAAAATACTGCGAAAAATATATATAATTTTTTAAAGGAGAAAAATTATACGTTACCCAGTGCAATATAAGCATAAAGTATACGATCATTGGAAGTTAAAGACGGCAGAAAATTGAATGTTGATATATGAAATTTAACTAAAACTGCGCCCTGATGTTTGCAAGGAGTACCAGACGCGCTAATTGGACATGTACAAGTACCGATTTCACTATTCACAGTGTAGAAAAGATTAGCATTATTTACACTTTTTACATAGAATTCATGTTCCACATTACTTTTTTGAATAGTATCTATATTCACGGTGTCCCAGCCAGGACATAAAAAATGTTTTGCTATTCGCAAATGTCCCGTGTGTCTATGTACCAAACTAAGCAATTGAAGTGCATAGAATCTCTCCATAGTCGTTATAACAAACTGGAAAACCTGCACACAGTTGTACGCTTGTGATCTTGCAAACACTATATCTTTAAGTATGCCGAAGCTTCTCTCAATATAGTTGTTTGTGTTGTTTTTGCGCATATGTAGTTCAGAACGGAAAGAGAAAGTCCAAAAATAACGATGTTCCCATAAGAGCTCGAAATGTTTGCGTAGTTGAGAATAATGATGATAAAATTGTTGTTTGAATTCATCGTAATGAGTATACATGTCTAAGCCAGTTTGTGCATAAAGTATTTTTTCATCTTTGCCATAATGGTCACCTGGTCTTCTTTATTAATGTGATGTTTCAAATTATAGAGCCATCTCCAAAATGCCTGTAAAACGTGGAATGAGCACAAAAGACGGATCTCTTATATATTTCAGTTGAATAAATTGATAATTTAGTTAAATTAAATATATACAAATTAATTTAAAAAAAATTTCAATTTGAATTCTTTATTTTCTGGCCAATATAATTCTAGTACATTACGTTCAGCACTTGAATCGTCAGTTAGAATAACCTTTAGACCAAGTAGCGGTCCACGTCCAAAGAAGGCATGTTGTGGACACAGGTCGAAGGGGCGCCATTGTCTAAAATTCAAAAAATGCAAATTCCCCATTTTCCTGGAAAATGGTGGGAAATTGTGGAAAATGCTGCATTACGCTGAGCAATTTTTTGGAATAGCATTGTTACAACATTGTCCGATTTAGCAAATCTTATGAAATTTTGGGAAAATGCTACATTATATCTCAAATGTAACATTTTTGTAACATTTCGTAACATTGTTATAACATTGTCATTAAAATCAAATTTTGCTTTTTTTTTGCCAAATGTTCCAATTTTCTTGCAAATGGTGCATTTTTATGAAAATTTCACATTTTACCTCAAATGTAATAACATTTAATAAAATTGTTATAACATTGTCAATTAAAATCAAATTTTGCTTTTTTTTTGTCAAATGTTCCAATTTTCTTGCAAATGGTGCATTTTTATGAAAATGCCACATTTTATCTTCAATGTGATATCATTGTAACAACATTTCATAAAATTGTTATAACATTGTCAATTAAATTCAAATTTTGTCAAATATTCCGATTTTCTTGCAAATGGTGTATTTTTTTATGAAAATTCTATATTTTCTGTCAAATGTTGCATATTTTCAGCAAATTTTACGTTTTTTTGGTCAAAATGTTTCATTTTCGTCAGAATGTTAAGATTTTACATTTTTTTTTGAAAATGCTCAGTAATATAGCATTACACTGGAAAATGTAGCATTTCACCAAATTACACTAAAAAGCATCACAATTATCTCATTTTTTGGAAAATTCCACATTACATTAAATTATACTAAAAAATGTAGCACTATACTAGATTATG